TGACAGCCTATTATGCTTACTTAAAATCTAACTTACAATACTGCATACTGGCTTGGGGCCATTCATCTCACGTATCAAAGGTGTTTGCTGTTCAGTGACGATGGTTGAGGATAATAGCAATTTTTTTTCAGACAATTATGATAATTACATAACTTCCAAAGAGATTCACAAATATAGACTAGCAAAAACTAGACCGGAAAGTCATTATTTCAGTGTAAAATTCTTTAATGTTCTGACGAGTTTTTAAATAATGATTTTATCGACATTGTTCCATGATGATTGTTGACTATTTGTTTTATTGCTTTGTGTTTGTTTTCGATTTTGTTTAAGTGTATTATTTTTTTGTATTGCTGCTTATTGTTCATATGCTGAGCCTTTTCTCGACGTGTGTACAAACACGAATACATTATTATTATTATATGTAGCACCCGAAATTACCAATTTCATATATTTTCAGCTACCAACTAATTATTTTTTGAATCTTCTTGGTTGGCGCTCGCCACTCTAAAATTTGCTTGAACAAACCGATCAATATAAGTATACAACATACCTCATCTTGACAGTTTAGTAGAGGTGGGGCTAATGTCACAAATTCAGGCTTGTATACCTTGTTCATTGGTGCATCATCACCAGTAGCTAATTTTTTTATTAGTGCATCATCTGATCCTGCATCTGTAGTATAGCTGGAAAGGTAACGCTGATAAATATTTGAGTTACAATAATTTAAAGTGGGAAGGACTGTATTTGACTCATCAGTCTGCGACTTAGTGCTTTAGTTGTAGTCTCTTTGACACGGGACAGTGGTGTTTTGGTCATTTTTGTCGTTTTGGATTATGTAACTGGTTCTACACCGTTTGAGGACTGGAAAGGGGGCTATAAATATAGTCTTTTTGTAACCAGTAGGCATACGTTGCTAAATGCTATAATTCTGATGTGTCAAAATTAATTTCTCAGCTGTGAAGACAATATCAAACGGAAATGCTATGTCCCAAATTAAAGATAAAAATTAATGTGTCTCAACTCCTAGTTGATTATATGGCCACCAAGGTTTGCTGGTTTATAGGTTGGTTTATCTCTGGTACTTTCTAAGATTGAATGGAATGAGCCGCAGGAAGTGAGATGATTTGCAATATTGACATGATGAAAAATAATTAAGCTTTTTTTGATGTTATCTAATTAGATCTTGGACAATAAAAACATCTATATATAAATCTATCAATTTATATAATGTCACACTTCTATAGGGCATGCAAAAAGAAACACGAAATTCATTGCATTAAAATACAAGGCTAAAGGCCTCATGCGTGAAACAAGATCGTACCCTATTTCACGAGTGTCCATCATGTTCTGACATCTACTGAGGTGAATAGCTGATCAGCAAGTGACATTTTTGTGTTGGTCTGCAACCTTGGCAACAATGAATCGGGTATAAATCTAGTAAAATTTGTTTGTGGCGTTTTGTTTTTTGTAAGCAAATGATCTTTTCTAAATAAAAGAGCTGTTAGCAAGTACAAAATAAATCTGTAGTTTACAAAAATACAAAATACGGCTCTGTCTACATGGGGTTGACAGATCCGTCAGAATTATGTGTCCTGTGCCAATATGGGGAATTTTGAGATATTACTAGATAATCGGCTGTCGTTCTACCGTGATGTATACTCGTCAAATAGGGTATAGTAATGAATTGTGGGGTAAATCAAATTTTCTACATGTGCAGAGACAGGAGAAAGTTTGCAAAGCTTTTCATAAATCACAAAATTAGAGTATTACCACAGATTATTAGCATAACTACTGATTATTAGTTTAACAGTTTAACTGTCAGCAAGACCAGTCAGTCTTAGAACTGCTTATTGCCATGAAATGGCAGAAATATCAGAGGTTTATATCACTTTAAGACGTTGCCAAATTGTGATAGAAGCTTTATTATAGTGGGACTACAATGCATAGTTACATAATTCCAAAAGGCTATATATAGTCTTTGTGACTAAGGCCACTAACTCAACTTCTAGCGATGTAATAACCCTGCATATGCTTGACCATTGGCATATGTATCTGATTAATCAAACATACATTCCCACATAAGATGCAAGAATATTGATACTAAAACGACTAATATAAGAAAGGTAGTTTTTCTAACATTTTTATTAGATAAAACTGTTTGTACCTGTTAGAAACCTTTTTCTGGCAGTGACACTATAACAGGTATACCAGTTTTGCATGTCTGGGGTAATTCAGATTGTTTTTCAGCTAATAACAATTGGATCATTGAGAAATCTGTTGGTGAGTGTTGTGGAGGATCAGCATTTATGACTTGCACAGCAGTTTTTTCATAAACTGAAAAAAAAAATAATATCAAATTGAAATGCAACATGCATCCAAGGAGAATCTGATTAGCAGATATGTAAAATATATACATTTAAAGATATTATTATACTGGGTGCGCCATCTATTACTTTTTTTTACCTATAAGTTTATGTGTTACCATGTGAGTCAAAAGTCATGTGGTATTCATAAATGAACTGTCAAAGGTATGCCATTACCGTCAACGGGGAACGGGGCTTGTTAGCAGACTTTTTGTGGCCACAATTAGATCGTATTGGTGCCGACGATCTTTGGTTTCATCAAGACGGAGCAACGGCTCACACATATCGCCAAACAATCGCCTTATTGCACACCAAATTTCAAGACCGCATAATTTCACGAAATTCAGATGTCAGTTGGCCCCCGGGATCGTGCGATTTCACACCTCCTGACTATTTTCTTTGGGGATTTTTGCATTTTTGCAAATGGTCCCCGGACAATGCAAGACCTAAAGCGCAATATTCGGACTGAAAGTGCGGCCATAGAGCCGATTATTCTGGGAAAAGTTATTGTAAATTTTGATGTTCGGATGTTGGTCTGTAAACGAAGCACATGACTGATGTTATTTTTCATACATAAATGGCATAATTCAACCTTCATTTATCAATAAAAAAAAATCGATTTCACCTCGTGAAGAGCGTGTTGATTTTAAAAATAGAAAAAAAGTAATAGATGACGCACCCTGTATCTAATTTACATCAAAAATTTCTTCATGAATTTATTCAGATTTCTTGAAGGCATCTTGATTGTTTTGAAGTGTTTAGATCAATGGACAATTCATGGATTATCTAACAGTACATAGTGCTACCAACCACACAACAAATTTTTGATAAAAACATTTTGAGGTTTTACATGTATTTTGATTTTTATTTTGAAACAAATTTCATAAGAAGAAACTATACTGTTGATTACTGTATATCTATCAAAGCTCTATCCCTGAATTGAAAAGTTGTTCAATATAATGAAAAGGAAAGCAAGGTTGTCACTTGTTGCATGTTAGAACAGGTTCAAATTGTGTGATGAAATCCACGAAGAAATTCAGGTTTTATATTTTTGAAATTTGGGCATGAACCCAACTCATGAAGAAATCTGAGGATTTATTGTCAATATAAAATTGGCATATATCGTCGTTGCCGTGGAAAAAGCTCCTATGTGATAAATAGTAAAGTTTTCAGGAGATACGAAAAACATGTTCATGCTGAAAAGGTGTAGTAAAACAAGATGCATAGGACATAAGAATACTCTGTATTGAACATTTCATGCTTGTATTAATTGGGCAAGGAATATTAACAAAATTATAAAATAAAATTTTATTCTTAAATAAAACGTGTCCACATAGGAGCATTTACTATATTTAATAACGTCACATAGGAGATATTGCTTAATTATTAGACGTTACAATATAAATTAGCGATAAGGCACTACGAGTTGGAATTGCACTTTTTTACAGTGTTTTTGTCTTTTTTGAAGGTCAACTTGTCATAAAAATGATGATGCTCTTCTTCTATCACACCTTTTAGTTCTTGAAGGCATTTCCATTTCGTTTCAGCTATGGGAATTTCACAGGAATACATGGAGGTGGTTTTTGAACATATCGTGTGAAAACTCGTTGGGGTAACTCTTCAAATTCCTCACTGTGCCGTATTTTGTAAAATATATCGCCAGTCGGGCGATATTCCAGTGCTCGGATGTCCACAACGTGTGGATCGCCCACTTTCTTCCCAGGTCGCAAAGATCGGAGATTTGTTGGCAATTTTTCGAAATTGAGAAAAAATTTGTAATCCAGTACGTTGATTTTATATGGTTGTTTGGGTCTAGCGCTTCTCATTTGAGCAATATAATCGCTAGGTGAATTTATTGGTGGGACGAAGTACTTCTCAAGCGAAGCGTGTACGCTGTCACACTCCATCATGGTGTGGCCCTTCTCTAAAAAGAGTTGTCTGATAAGAATTCCTGACTGCACTGCATAATCACGCAGAGCACTACCTAGAACCTTATTTCGATTTTGGTATGTGCAGCCATCAGATATTAACGTAACTGTTTGGTACTTGTGTTCAAAAGATGACAGAAAATCTATCACACATGTGGCAAACTCGTTCGAGGATACTCCGCCATTTGACTCATGCCAGACATAAAGAGATACTTCTTTGTTATTTAGCACAAAAATAGTAAAATTGTGTAGTTGTAGCTTCTGTTTGTAATACATCCTAGAGGCATCAGTTTTAGGGCATAAAACACTTGTAGATCCATAGTCAGGACGAGATGTGTGTCATTAGCCTCAGCCTTTGCTTTATTCTTTGCATCTCGAGCTTCGTTTTTCATAATGATATGCTTTTGATATTCATCGTAGGAAACCGATTTTACCTTGTACCCACAACATATGTCGCATTGGTCCTTACGAGGTGAATGTATCTTAATTTTTCCTGCTTAAGGACATCTAAAAAGAATGTTCTTGAGGCTGCCTTTGTATCATTACTTTGCACCAGTCTTCATATACACTATACATGTGTGACAGAGATCTAAATGTCGATTCTACGTAAGTACAACTGCTTGTACTTCGGCAATAATGGCTAGGAACCTTAGGGAGCAGCGCTAACCATTTTAAAATATTGTTTTTCATTTCATTGTGAATTTTCTTCTTAACTCCTTCTGCTATTGTTCTCTTCTTCCGTTGCGGTATGTCGTCCCGTTCGGTTTCATTTTCTGCAAAAGTGTCGCTTCGTCTAACCCATCTCCTAAATGTATCTTCCCCTAGATCAAGTGTATTAATAAAGAAACGTCTGCAAACCCTTACTCTTTCTCCATTACATTTCGGCAAGAATATATCGTGTCCTTCTTTCTTTTTTGAGTTATTGTTTGCGTCTTTCTCCTTCTTCTAACATCTCTGGTGCTAGTCAATCCTTTAACGAATGCTTTCTTTTCAGGCCAGCTACTAAAATTCCAAAATTTCTTGAAAATTCGTTGCCTATCGTTTCAGATACCATGTTACAAAGAAAACTTCTTTCACTTTTCTTACCGCATAAAGTGTGACTACAACGCTCCTTTACTGATCTCGATGTCTTCATACAATTTTGTTTTATTTTACCATCATCGGATTTTTTGTAGCCAACATAAGATAACCCGGCAACTCTGCTTTTTTTGGCTTTAAGACGTTTTCTTACTATACGTGAAACTGGACTATCTGACCACGAACTTGAGCATGAACTATTACCTCCCTCTCTCAAGGTTCCCCCCATTTTGTTCGATTGATGTGCGCACTTCATCCAAATCTCTTCCATCGTTTTGTGTTTTTACATCCGTAGTTTGATTTTGCACAGTATTCACCTCCATCACTGGATTCGCTGAAGTATGCTCTACGTTAGAATCTTCCACTTCCTCTTCTATTATAAATGCTTCATCAGTAGTCGAATTGGTATAACAGTGCCATCAATATGACTGACAATGCACTCCTCCCATTCACTATCCATGCCTAAATCCTTTGATCTGCTTCTCCGTAAACACAATGTGAGCTTTCGTTGCATACATTTTTATCATTTTCGATATTTTCCAGTGCCGCTTGAAGAATTCGCCTACTTCGACTCGACATTATGATTATCTACAAAAAAAGCTCGGGATAGAATATGTTTACAGCAATGAACGCCTGAACGTAAAAAACAGCTAATCAGATGTTGAACGTTAGGGTACGAACACAAAGAAAGCAGGTTTATCAGCGCCGACTCTCGACGTCGAAAACCGGCGCCTGTACGAGCACAAAGAAAACAACTAGCCGGGTGCGGACACAAAGAAAGCATGTTACCTGCTTACTTGTAGTCGACGCTTACAAACGCCAAGAATTAAGTACGCTTTTGAAATGTCCCGCACACAGATAAAACTTGTTGTAACACCCTGTTTATAGACCTTGATCCTTTTATGTTGTATAAAATACTACCAAATCTGCTAGTATGTCAATCATATGGTTCATCAGTATAATAGATAAAATAGAACTTACCTCAGTTGAACGGTTTCGTTGTAACTAATAGCAGCAATAAGCTCAAAAAAGTAATTCCGTTTAAATGCTGAAGCACAGTACCTTTCGGATTCTAACCTCTAATGTGCACAAAACTAGACACGTGGTGAATGGTCAAAATCACTTATGTGTTAGAGAGTCTAACACATAAGAGGTTTTACAACAACAGCTATAATAATAGAGGTGGAGAAGTCTTCTATGTGTCAGCACTGGATGCTTCTGTGTACATAGAGATTTTGCACAAATGATTTTTTGTGATGTGTACTGTTGGACCAGCGAAAGATTGCAAGCCGAAAGAATGCGGACAAAAATTGCGAAGTTGTCAGATGTTCTACATAAAATGCGGTCCATAATATTAACATATTTAAGATATAGAATTGTTCCGCTGAATTTGGCAATGTAGCTGGAAAACCCAGGCCGCAGGTAAACATCCGGTCGCTGATTGGTCCAAAACTCTTATCTTATCTGAAACTAGAATAACGTGCCGATGGCACGGTCATTTATAAACCTACTCCCATAGGCGTAGGCAGTTGGCAAATACTTTGAAAATATAATTTACTGTTTAGTGGTGATAATGGAATTCAAGCATGGGAAAGTTATTCACAGCCAGGCAAGGGAAATAATAGCAAACGTGATACGTGCTTGCGATGCAGAAGAGCGGCTAACAATACTTTCGTTTATCCACTGGTAGCTAGAAATGCAAGGGCGGCATATTATACGGGTGTTAGTGAACGAACTATAAGTAAAATTAGAAAGAAGATAAAGACAGGCAAAATGCAACCTCCACACAGCCTTTAGCTTCTCCCGGAAAAAAGAGATCACGCCCTTCTGTGATCCAAAAATTGATGGAGTCGATTTTTCCATTATTCGGAGAATGATAGAAAAATTTTACTGTGATTTTAAAGTGGTACCTACTTGTAGTAAACTTCTAATCAAACTGAAGGAAGAAATGGAATTTCCATTTGGTAAAGAATCGTTGAGGCTGCTTTTAAAGCAAAAGGATTTTACTGGCGTAAATGCCACAACAAAAGGAAATTACTAATGGAAAGACCCAGTATTTTACATTGGCGATACAAGTATCTTAGGTCTATTAAAAAGTTCCGGGAAGAAGGAAGGCATATTATTTATTTGGACGAAACTTGGGTTGATAATGACCGCACTTTCAAGAAATGCTGGCAAAGCGAAGAAGAAATTATGGGGTGTCCTGAGCAATATAAGTTCTACAGGTAATAAAGTTTCTTTCACCTCGATTTTGCTTATATACATTTTTCTCAATTTGGAATATTCTTAATAAGTGCTCATTTAATTTGTCTAATTGAATACATAATCCCTTGCAAGTATTTTTTTCTCAAAAATATGTTTTTTATACATAGTGATTCAAAAAAGGTGTTGGCAAACTTAAAAATAACACTAAAATGAGGCTATTTATTCATTTCCAGGACGACTTATAATTGTTCATGCGGGTTCGCAAGATGGTTTTGTTCCTGGAGCCTGTCTCATTTTCAAGCTGGCTGTGCCACTGGTGATTATCACGGTCAAATGAACCAAGAAAATTTCACGAAGTGGCTTACTGAAAAACTATTTCCTAACATTCCTCCTAATAGTATTATAATAATGGATAATGCACCTTACCATTCAGCTTTGGAAGACAAGCCTCCAACTAGATCTTCTCTAAAAAGAGACATCATCACGTGGTTGAGCAAAAAAGGTATAGAGCATGATCCTAATGCTAAAAAATGGAGCTTTATGAAATAGCTTGTCTACATAGGCCACCATCTGATGAGAAAAATTATAAGATAGATAATTTAATAAGAAGTTTTCGGACACACCCCACTTCGAACGCCACCCTATATGTGTCAGTTTAATCCCATAGAGATGATTTGGGCACAAGTAAAATTTTTCATTAGAAGCCATAATACAAGCGGCGAATTTACTATAAAAAAACTAGATGAAATTTCTAATAAGGCCATCGCTTCAGTAAGTGCCAGTGACTGGCAAAAGGTTATTGGACATGTTATAAAATTGAAGATGAATATTGGGAAAAAGACAGTCTCATTCAAGAAATACAGGAAGAAATAATAATCAACATAGGAGGTGAAAGTGATAGCAATGACAGTTCCTCAGACAGTGATCATGACTCTAATCAGGATTGAAACTATACTAGATTGGCTACCTTTTAGAATTTTAGATATTCATTTATTATACTATTGGTTTGTGGCTTTTAGTATCTCAGTAGAAAGTCTAATTCTATGTGTTGTTTATGGGTTATTTCATCAAGAAATTACTTTTTGTTTTCCTATATTTTCTATTCAGTCAGATATTTTTGACTTGTTGTATTCTATTTTAGAAGAATGCATAATTTGTTTGCTGTTCAATCATAATGCGTACATAGGAATATTACTTGTTGCCTAAAAAAATATATTTATTTTGTTCTCAATATTCAGTGTTTGTGTATATTTATTTCTTATAATGTATGTTTGGTATCACGTCATTATGAATCGCAAAAAAATATTAATACTACCAGTTGTAATAAAATATAATTCAATTAATAATTCAAGTCTCTCCGATCTCCGCCTATGACTCCATATAAATCGTCTAATGGTAAGGTTTTTTCATCGCATTTCCCCCTTTCGTCCCTAGCAATCTTTGGCTGGTCGATCTATACATAGGAGATTTTATTTTTTCAGAATAACACAGGTTAAGCTAAAACAGCACATATAGGGTTTTGCCACATTACAGAGACATTCATTACTTTTACGTTGGTATCAAAATACCAATTTCGTAAAAATTACACATGAGAGGTTTTTCCACGGCAACGACGATATATTGTTATATCTAACATCATATTATGCTATTCCTGAGTTACATACTGAACTAGTCTGATTTACTGTAAAAAACATTTGAGAAACTTGTTATTGGAAAGAATCTATGATAATATAACAGTAATATATAATATTTCATATCCAATTTTAGGTCACTGTTGCCATTCACAAAATAATACTTACGGAATCCTTAGATACATCTGACATCAACTGTGTTAAGAAATGCTTTTCTTGAGGAAACAACCTTGGTAGTTGGCCAGGGTATTCCAGTTTTGGAGCACCAACATTGCTCTGATGTTCAGGGGGATGGAGTAAATGTATAAAAACGCTGGCAAATGGAGTATTGGCAAGTGGTTCACCTCGATAAGCTCATACAGTAAAGTGAATGCTACAAGCCTTTGTTCAGGTTCAGGAAGTAGGTTGTTTTGAAGTAACATCACTATGCATGTTCCCACTGCAAAAATAAAATAGCCAAAATGATAAAAGTTAGTGGTTTTTCAGATGAAAGTAAAGAGACAATGTTTTGATCAGTTTTAGCTTGAAATCTTATTAGTACATAAATATAGACCTGGGTATAACCTATTACAAAATATACAATCTAGACAAAAATATATATAAAATGCATACTCACCCTTGAAAAAGTCGCGAGCTTCAAATTTCTTGTGTATATCATTGCACAAAGCCTCCAGAGTGAAGTTGCGAACACTTTGCAAATCTAAAATGCTATAAATGATACTTTATAAGAAGTAAATGGTTATTAACAGTATCAGCTTACTTTAATAATGCGTCGCATTGGTCCACAGATAAAGCCATTGCTGTAAAACTTAAGAAAATACAACTATTATTGTTTTTCTACATCTTCTTTTGAGTGGTGGATCTTTGAGGTTAGGTCATGGAAAAACACTGCACAGAACACAAGAAAGAGAAGCAGAGGGAAGGGCACCGCGCGCAGTGATACATACTCGTCGGTAATTTCTTATGACTGCATACACCCATTTGCGGCCATTTTCCAAGTTTCGGAATCTATTTTAAAAACCAGTCTAAAGGAAGGTGCAGTGACAAATGCAATTCTACTTGCCCGTGCTCCCGAAATTTTAAGGTAAGTTATGAATTTTGCGCTTAATCCACAAATAGTTCATAGATTTGCATTATTTCTTCTACAGTTTGTACTAAGTTGACTGGTCTATAAGCAACTTCAGCTAACTTCAAATCCCGGAAATATGAGAACTGTTTTTGGCGGGAATAATATTTCTTTGGCATTCAATTGTTATAAGAGTAATGTCGTGGTCTTCATATTCGTTGTGTGGTCTATTTCAGTATCGTTTTCTACCACGATTTTATTCGAAAAATTGTTCATAATCCACAAATCTTATCGGTGAAATTATAGTCACAAACACGGGAGTGATTTTTACGTTCCAGATGTGATATCGTTGTAGACCTAATCAGTGGTGATTGGTGATAATCCTAAAAAACTTTGGTGCAAGATGGAGGTACAGCTGTGTATTCTGGCACCGACAGGTGAGCGTAAGACTTATTTAGCATTTTTCATTAATATCTTCGCAATCTACTTATTGCCTTGGTTAATAAAACTGAAACCATAGTCATAAACAAATGTGTTTCCAAATGTTTAATTGCTCTGCCATTCGGAATCGTTTTTCAAAGTACATCAAACTAAAAACTGCAAGGTATCAATATAAGTAGGGGAAGGTGTTGTACCTTGGACCCATTTTTGTAAATCGTGCTGTATTTTTTTGGTTTTAAGTTTTCTGAACTGATTTTGCAGAAATAAGGAGGCTGTGGCATTAACTTATTAATTTATTTTATATTCGGACATGGAATATTAAACTAAAAACTCACAAGCACACTATTTAGTGAGTAATACAAACCGGTCCAAGGTACAAACTCGTCATGTACCTTGGTCCACAAACGATTGTACCTTGGTCCAAAAAAGGAAAGTAATGAGAGAAATAAAACTTATTTTAATATTCTACACACAATCATTCTAAAAATACTTTAGGCTTTAACTAACATTATAATTGTCAAAATTAACTTCAAAATATAATAGTGAGCTATGTCGAGCAGTCCCTTTTAGGGTTTTCGGTTGCGGTAGCTTACAAACTAAGTCGGTAGGACAAAAGTCGTATGTCTCTGCAGAATCATTCACAAATTTATCGGTGTTGTTAACTCGCCGCAGGTACCTAAGTTCATTTTCATCGCCTATGCTTATGATCTCACCAACATAGTATTTTATTGTTTTTTTTCCCTGATACTTTTACCAGTACAAAATCACCTCTATGAAATTGATAGTCTTCATTTAACTGTTGCAAAGTACCAATTTCTAGCCATTCTCTATCTTCAGAGATAATGTCCTCCCAAGTTTCATGCTCTCCAGAAGATAATGAAGGAATTGACTCACTTTCGGAGGAATCAAGTGCTCTTTTTTTCACCGTGACTTTAACTTTCTGATCTTTCTTTGATAAATTTTTGGTAACATTTTTAATAGTCTTCAAATCGCGTTTTCGTTCTAATTCCTCTTTTCTGGTGTATCCGTAAGAATACGCGACTTGCCTTTTGGACGACCACCATAGGTGCTTTAGGGAATGGGCGCAATGTCTCAGGGGTGATGACTGACTGATCTTGTTCGGATGAAGTACAGGAAACTAAGAATGTATCTGAACTTGTAGATGGTAATCCATCCGCACTTGCGGATGGTAATGCATCACTACTGGAATTAGATTTCTCAATTAACGGACGGTCTGTTACATAACTGGCTAAGAACTCGTGGTCTTGGAAAATGTTTTCGTCAAAAGGATAAAGACCTGCTACTTTGAATCCCTTTTGAATATTTAAAGGCGTAAAGGCCTGCGGGAATGCTTTACCAATTAGTTCCGCTACGTCATATATCGTGATTGGTTGAGCAGGGTGCATTAACATCCATTCACTACAAGCTTTGTTATAGTATGTTTTTAAGGGCCCAAACACTGTCCTGTCTAACGGTTGAAATTTGTGGCTTGTGTGGGGATGGAATGTCACTAACATAATTCCATTTGCTTTGCAAAAGTCAATCGTCGAGATGCTAATATGGCTATCATGGTTATCTAATAGAATAATTGTCGGTTTCTCGATATTCGGCTTGACGTGATTTGCAAAATGTTGCATAAACTTATAAAATAAATCTACATTCGACCAGCCTGATGGATTGGCTGCACCAATCGAGCCAACTGGGCCGCCCTTAAGCATATTGGCCTTGAAATGCACCCGCGGAAATATCAGCATTGGTGGGATCGCGTTTCCAAGTGCATTTATGGCAGCAATTAAAGTAACGTTTTGGCCACGCTCACCACTTGTCATCTGTCCAACTTGTTTGACCTCCTTTGGGACTAATAATTCTAGGCGGAACATGTACCGTTGTTATGCCGGTCTCATCAATGTTCCAGATATTTTCTGCAGAAAAAGTTCCTCTAGACAAAACACTTTTATAATTTGCAAAAAATGTCGTTACATTGACTCGATTAAATGCCGTGGATCTCGCTAAACTAGTCGATTCAGGTTTTCGGAGAGACAAATTTGGGTGCCGTTTCATAAATTGTCGTAACCATTCCTTTCCCGCCATTTTCTTCTCATTCCAGGTGTCAGGACACCGCTTCTCCTTTGCTGATGCATACTGGTAGGCTAATTTTCTTACTTCAACCTTGGTTAACCCATAATGAAGACGTGCAGCCGTGATTAAATAAGTTGTCAGTGCTTCCTCCTCATTTTTCGAAAATACTTGCTTCACATTGTTATTTGCGCTGTACGTAAATCTGTCCGCTCCTGAGTTTTTGAAGGAACGAATGTGTCTAATTAACGTGGTTTTTGATACTCCATATCGCCTTACTGCTTCCCGAAGGGCAATACCTTCATTCACGCATTCTTGTACAGCTCTTGTCAATTGTTCCTTATCAACTTTGTCACGCTTTTTTCCACTTTGACTTCGAGGCATTTTTGAGCAATCTGAAAAGAATTAAACATGGGTTTACGTTTAAAATAAAAAGAACTATTTATTTACAAGCAATTTTATCGATACAAAAGTGTATTGTACCTTGGACCGGTCCAAGGTACAACTTTTGCACATGGTCCAAGGTACAATTTTTACAATAAAAATTGTTCTGGTTAAATAAACGAACAAAAATCAATGTATACAAAAACTATTCACACATATGCAAGGAGGAATGAAAGATGTACAAAAATAACATAAAACAATTTACTTACCCTTCAAAATAACACAGGTGATCAAAGATTATTATTTGATTAATATTTACTTTGACACTCAATAATATGCAAACGTGGTATAACTTAGAACAGCCCGCCTTCTTGTCAAATTACTTTGGGCGACATCTGTAGTGTAAAAGTATGTAACTCATCGGTGATATGGGTGAAAGAAAACTGTAAGAGGAAATAGGAGAATTCGAAGCGGTCCGAGGTACAATATGGTCCAAAGTACAACACTCTCCCCTACTATCAAAACTTACTAAGTAAAATAAAAAAGTAATTTATTCAACATCTATGGCATAACTTAGTGGCAAGAAACGTATAGATATTGATCAGAGAGATATGGTACAAGTTTATTCAGAATATACATATTCTGTATGACTTTGATAAACGATACTTTTTTGAAAGAAACTTCATTGTCTCGGTACTTATATTATCGTTTTACAAAAATGAAAAAACCCAAAACTTATTTGAGCGTTCTTATCCTGGAGCCTTCGGATTATGAATCTGTATCAGCATTATCATAGGAAACTTACAGAACTCTACTGAAGTAAGAGTGTTTTTTTAGAACGGTGCATTTTTTCCATGTCAAACAAGAGTCTTTTTCTGCTGCAAGATCAGTCTGTTCAAAAATGTTATTCTTGTGCCATATTATTATCGAGATCGATGGTGTTATAATTGTCCTCAATGGTAGCCATCATGAAAGGCTCCAACTAGTATATGTTGATCTGTATAAATTGAATTATACAGAGTCGTTCGAAAGTTATTGAAGAAAAACCTATTTCCAGTAGCGTATAGGGCTTAACTGACATATGCCGACCAACAAAATGACGTAAAAATGACGTCTTTATGACGGTCTAATGTCACATCCAATTGACGTCACCAGTATGACGTCATAGTCTGTCCTTTAAAAGACCAATATAAAGTCAATATGACGTCTGCATGACGTGGGTTTGACGTCTATATGAGGTCGATATTACGTCTATGTGACGTCGATATGACGTGCAGTCGCTCGCAAAAGTAATCCTCCAGCATCAACTTTATGTTTTCTAATGGACGCTATTTAGGATGTGTTCACATATTAATAGAGTTTTTAATTCTAATTCCAAAAATGTACAACGTGTCATACATTGATATTGCCAAACCTAAATTATTTCAAAGAAACCGAACTTCCCCGGTAGGCTTTGAAATTAATAGATAGTCATTTGTTTCATATATACTAGATTTATCGCAAAATCATTTCTATTTTTTTTCCTGACTTTATTTGAGATGGGATTTCAAAATAAATGGCATGTTGTTTGCTACGACTTTTTCTTCTCTATAAAGTGGCGCAGTCAAATTTTCAATACAAGGTTTCTTCTTTCAAATTCCATCACCAATTCGTTTTTTCATAAGGACATTATATTGGAATTTTATACATCTAGGTGCTATTAAGAATAAATATGTGAATTTTAATGTGACGTAAATAAATAAATTATATTCATAACTAAATGCAGAATAAAAAATTGTGTTCGATTGTGCAAAATTTCAAGATGGAGTCCATAAGAAAAAACAAATTGTTGAGAGATCGAAAGCAGTGACGTCCAATTGAGAATATGACTACGCGTCTTTGTAGACAAGAAAGAGTGGCCTGCTAATGTACAATTTATTTTAAAATCCGATTTTAAATAAAACCGAAAAATAAACAACGATTTGCGATGAATTCGGCATACCAAAACAAATTACTATGTGCCAACTTCCAGGCCTACTTAGGGAATTCTGTCTTTTTGATATAACTAAGGTTTGGCAATGTTCAATGTATGACATATTACATATTTTTGCAATCAGAATTGAAAACTCTATTCATGTGTGCGAAAATTCCATCTGAAAAAATAAATTTGATGCTGGAGGACAAGAGAAGAAAAGTCATATTTAAATTCTAATTATGCCATCTTGTACGATTTTGGCAAAATTCGTTTTTTTCCGTCTCT